CTGTAACTGTCAGTTTTGTAATGTTGCAGTGCCTCATGGGAAATGTAGTTCCACAACAGCTAGAGAGTCGCTGGTTGCCTACCCCTGGTTTATACAAATGTACAGGCTGGGCAGAGCACAGGGAGCATATTTACCAGTGTAGTGATTCTTAAGCAGGGTATAAACAGTTTTTATTTTTCATTCAGTGGTTGTATGAACTCACACATCCCAACATCACAAGCGACTTGGATGCAGGTATCTCCCTCTGCCATGTTGTTGTATTCTGACAGCTGGGACTCCCTTCCCTTTCAGAATACACTGATCAGCACTGCAGCTGTTGACTGCACACGCCGATCGAATGCTGGTTTTCCAGTAGGACCATACAGCAGAAGCAAACCATTACGCCGGCTTCTGTTGAACATAGAGGAAAACCCACACATTGAACTCTGTCTGGTTCCTTCTGAAACGGCTGAACTTCGATGTGTGATACCCAGCTTTATTCATAGTCTGGTGAGCAGACTAAAGGTGGAGAAGAAAAGCTGAAGGGAATTGGTGGAGCTGCATGCTTTGAATAGTAGAGTCAACCTCCTGGGTAAAGAGCTGTGTAAATCACTCTTGTGGCTGAACAGAATTATGAGTTCTTTGACAGGTGAACAAAGTAACATGTATTTTGAACACATGGGTGTTTTAGCTGCTCTGCTGGAGTTGCGGATTTAAGTTGCAAAAAGAGAGAAATGGTAATTTGAATAATTGTAAGTGTCCATATCACATTTTTGCCACAGCCAAGTACAGTTAGGTGTGTGTGTCATAAGTAATCCATAGTCCTCCACATTTACTCTCACCTTCTTTAGACCTCACAATATAGTTCGGTCACAGTGTGCTTTTATCCCTTAAATGGACCAGCCAGTGTAAATCTCCACAGTTGTATTATCACCTGTTCCTTTACCTCCGCTCCATAACATGTAAACAGATACACTGAAATTAGTGCTTTAACCATTATAAGGTGTTTTTTTTTTTTTTTTTTAAAGTAAAACACATTAAAAAGGTGCCAGATTGCCATTATACATCTTGTATATTATGGCAATCTTGTGTATTATCGCCTCGTGCATTGTAAAGGTTTCCACACTTCTGCCTTCTAACCAGCGTCATCCAAGGTCCATCCCTGATGTATTTTGTCATCACCATGTGACTTCTTAAGGTATTCTGGAGATTTATCATATCTATTGTATTACATTGTTTTTGGTTTATAGTTGGTAGGGAAGCTTTCTGAAGCAGCTCTCAAGATTCGTACTATGTAATTATAACATGTTGCACTTGATATTAAAATTGACCACAAGAGGTGTCTGAAGGCTGACCTAACTTGCAGAACCCCCCTGGTACCCCACAGTTTGGGAGCTCTCCTATGCAGATCTTGACAAGCTTCAATTCGAGAGCCCAGCCTCTGTTCCTTTTTGTTCTGGGTCCTAACCACGATTTCCAATGATTGTGAGGGTTGAGGTAAACCTGAGCTCTCAGTAGATTGAAAAGATTCATATAATAGAGCACTTCAGATTTCAGGTAATCCAGTATTCTTGGATGAGTTATATCAATGAACATACAGAGATTTCTGTGTCATGAAGTTCATGATCTTCCGGTTTAGTGTTTTTTAAGGTGACCACTAGGTCAGTTTAAATCTGTATAAAAATTGTGGAAAATTAAAGTGTTATTTTAGAAAAAAAATCTGAACCTTTACAAAGGTCATACTTGCCTGCTCTGTGCAATGGTTTTGCACAGAGCAGCCCTGATCCTGGCCCCTCCCCCCTGCTGAATGCCCCCAGAGCAAGCGGCTTGGGTGGGTGCTCACTCCTGAGCCGTCCTTTTTTGTGTCTGAGACACATGGAGCGCAGCTTGGCCCTGCCCCCTGCACTGGCTGTGATTGACAGCAGCGGGAGGCTCCCACTGCTGTGTCTCAGGCAGTGAGGAGAGCGAGACCCCTTCTGCTCTCGTGCACATCGCTGGATTGGGATCGGACTCAGGTGAGTAAAAAAACTTTCAGCCTTTAGAACCACTTTAAATCCAGATCCCTCTTCTGATATCCTGTTCTAACTTGCGATCGACACATCCATGTTACTGCAAAACACCGTTGAGCACCTGACATTCACTAGATCAGGTTTTGCAGCATTTCCCAGGTCACTATGCTCACAAAGCAAACACTGCTTGGTATACAGTGTTTATGTAGATGGAAAGACTGGATAGACTGTTTTTTTGTTTCTAAAAAGCATATCCTTTATTTTGGATGGAATTTAACAATGAAAGGTTTACCTCTGATCAGGTGATTGTTCTGCCATTGTGCTGCCTCTGCACAGACCGGTATCGTCAGTTTATTAGGTCTAATAAAGAATTTTTCTGCGCTGCCTTTTTGCACCCAACCAAGTTTGCTTTTTCCTTTTCTATTATTATTAAATGCAAACTGTTAGTGCTCAAGTGTTTGAAAGTATACACTCTTATTGATCACTTGCCGTGAAAAGTTCATTCCAGTGTTTAACATAAGAATGAGCATATGAAGAGAATATCTAAAGCCTTGCAACTCTGTTTTATGTCTTCAAAAGTATTTAAGTACATCTTCTCACAAAAGTACTTTAGTAAAAGCCCACAAAACCTAAATCCATCCAGGGTGAGACATGCTCAGTCCACTGGATGCAAAATACCAATTGTCAAACCTTTTCAGCAGCACATAATCACCGCCTCAAAAGGGCATCATGGCTTCCACATTTTGAGGGCGAACTCCCTTCCTCTGAAATCTCTGAATAGAAGATACTATTATTAAACTTTTTTTTTTTTATAGAGGACATTACATAAGTGTGTGTGTGTGTGTGTGTGTGTGTGTGTGTGTGTGTGTGTGTGTGTAGATATCTCTTAACACACTTTTTAATCAGAGTATAGCATCAATTCAGTTAAACTTCTGGGATATTGATCTGGTTAGTTAAGTAGCGGAGGGTGTTGTTAATCAGTTTCAGCTGCTCTGGTGTTAATGAAATTAATAACAGGTGCATTAGATGGGCAACAATGAGGCGACCCCCAAAACAGGAATAATTGTATAGGTGGAGGCCACTGACATTTTTTTTTTTTTTTCACCTACTCATCTTTTCTGACTGTTTTTCACTAATTTGACTAGGGTCAGTGTCACTACTGGTAGCATGAGGCGATACCTGGACCCTACAGAGGTTGTACAGGGAGTCCAACTCCTCCAGGACGGCACAACAATACGTCCCATTGCCGGAAGGTTTGCTGTGTCTCCCAGCACAGTCTCAAGAGCATGGAGGAGATTCCAGGCAGTTACTCTAGGAGAGCTGGATAGGGCTATAGAAGGTCCTTAACTCATCAGCGGGACAGGCATCTCCTTTTTGGATGGAGGAACAGGATGAGCACTGTCAGAGCCCTACAAAATGACTTCCAACAGGCCACTGGTGTGAATGTCTCTGACCAAGCAATCCGAAACAGACATCGAGGGTGGCCTTAGGGCCTGGCATCCTGCAGTGGACCCTGTGCTCACTGCCCATCACCACAGAGCTCGATTGGCATTTGCCATTCATCACCAGCATTGGCAGGTTTGCCACTGGCACCCTGTGCTTTTTACATATGAGAGCAGGTTCACCCTGAGCACGTGACAGATGTTAAAGGGTCTGGAGAAGCTGTGGAGAACGTTACGTTACCTGTAACATCGTTCAGCATGACCGTTTTTTGGTGGTGGGTCAGTGATAGTCTGGGGAGACATATCCATGGAGGGACACACAGACCTCTACAGGCTTGACAATGGCACCCTGACTGCTATTAGGTATCAGGATGCAATCCCTGGACACATTGTCAGACCCTACACTGGTACAGTGAGTCCTGGGTTCCTCCTGGTGCACGATAATGCCCGGCCTCATGTGGTGAGAGTATGCAGGCATTCCTGGAGGATGAAGGAATTGATACCATTGAATGGCCCTCGCCTGACCTAAATCCAATAGAACACCTCTGGGCTATCATGTTTCTGTCCATCTGATGCCACCAGGTCGCACCTCACACTGTCCAGGAGTTCAGTGATGCCCAGGTCCAGATCTGGGAGGAAGTACCCCAGGACACCATTCGTCTCATTAGAAGCATGTCCCAACATTGTCACGCATGCATACAAGCACGTGGGGGCCATACAAACTGAGTACCATTTTGAGTTGCTGTAATGAAATTTCAGCCAAATGCACTAGCCTGCAGTATAATTTTTTCACTTTGATTTTCTGGGTGTCTTTGAATTCAATCCTCTGTAGGTTGATCATTTTCATTTCCATCAAACGATGGAGCAACCTTATGTTCCTAACACATTACCCAGTCCATATCAGTATAGATATCCAGCATGATATTTTTCCCCATTGAGATCTGATGTGTTTTCAAAGTGTTCCTTTAATTATGTAATATTTTTCGCTCCATAAGGCGCACTCCCCCCCCCCCCCCAAAAAAAAATATGGGAAATGTCTGTCTTACGGAATGGCCGGACCGGTATTCCCGCCGTGTTAGAATACCAAGCTGGCTGCTCAGCTCTACTGTGCAGAAGAACCTGCTCCTCAGTCCTGCCAGTTCGTTGGTCCAGCAGTGTCCTGCTTTCACCGGCCGTCTTCTCTCCCCGTAGCCGGCATCTTCAGTGTGGACACCCGGCTGTGACCACTTGCGGCTTCACAGCCATGTGCCCACTGCGCATTCGCGAGAAGCCATCTCCGCAGAAGTGGGAACAGGTACCTGTCGAAATCGGGAACCCACCCACCCCCCTACCCCTAGGCTGTTGGTGGTGGTGTAATGGTGTGGGGGATACTTTCTTGGCACTAGCAAGGTGTACCTAATAAAGTGGCTGCTGAGTGTGTGTTTATGCAATCTTTGATTATATTCCTTTTTTACCTGTTAGCCTCCACTCAGAAAACAAATCGCATTGTTTGGAGGTCTGTGTGCATGATTTTATGGATAAGCATTAGAACAGTTCAGTGTGTTTGCTAATAATTTCTTCTTCCTTCTAGTCTCATTAACAGATTACAACCAGGAGCAGTGAGGAAAGTAAATGATGCAAAAATAAACTGGCACAAGGTAAGGGCTGTTGTCATATTTTAGACTGTGTGTAGTTATATCATGTAAATGTATCTTGATTATGTGATGTGCTGATTGTTCTACAGCTGGAAAACATTGGAAACTTTATTAAAGCCATGCAGGAATATGGCATGAAGCCACATGACATTTTTGAAGCAAATGACCTCTTTGAGAATGGAAATATGACCCAAGTGCAGACATCTTTGGTATCCTTGGCTGGTTTGGTATGTACCTCTCTGAATATTTATGAATTATGTTAAATGTAGAGATAAGATCAGATAAGTTATACTGAGAAACCTGTATGTTTAACTTTTTGTAAGGCTGAAGGGAGAAAGAGTTGAAGGAATTTAAAATGTATTATTTGTACATCACAGGACAGAGGATAGTTAATTCTTAGACTGTTGGGTTTTTTTACACCTCCAGGTGATTTTGAACATTGACAAATAACACAGCTTGACACCATCCAGTATTATATTCTGTCTCCCAGCATTGCTTCAGCTTTTCAGTAGTGTCTAGGCAGTGTACTGGTCTCTGCGTAAAGAGAGCTCATTCTGCTTTGATTTACACATTTTTACTTGAACTGCATTTCTTTGAGGATCCTCTGAGCTATATACCAGTGGCAGTTTTCCAGATCATTCCCTACATATGCTTATATCCAAAATGGGTCAGTGCCTGGACCACAGTGGAAAAATTGGAGACAAGCCTGTACACCACATGGACACTGCATTTCACGTGTGGCACTCAGTTTGTTAGGCAGTTGAATCTGTGAGTTAGCTTGCTGGGTTCCTATGGTCGAGGGCCATAGTCTGCTGTGGATTACCATAGCCCCTAATGTTCATGCATATCCAGGAGAAAGCGAAGATTGAGCTGGTTTTCTGTCTTTGCTCAGTGTATGTGTAAGTGCCCCTGTTGTGGGGAGTCCCCAGGTGCTGTCTCCTTGCCATTTAGACACCTGGAGGTTATGAGAGTTGGTGTCTTTCCTGCCACACCTATAGTAATGGTTGGTTCTGGCTGGGGTCACTAGAATGCACAGTGGGCATTCATTCGTACAAGGTGCACACATTGCACCCTGTTTGAGCAAACTGATTACTTTTCCTTAGCTGCTCTGTGCTCTAGTGTGGCCACCTGCCTCCTGCGCAAGCATGGCCCTGCAGCACGAATTGCCATTGAGGACACTACCCATATAGGACACATTTTGCTTGGCTCCTGCAAAGCACTGGATGCTACGCAACTGGTAACTCTGACACCCCAAGTTGGTGGGACATTGCAAGGCTACCCCCTCCCCCCTTTTTGGTGCTAGCGCTTAGTATTGTGCCCCCTTTGGGGGCTGGCAAGCATGATGGATCTGGCATTGGGGGATTGGTACTAGGTGGACTAGACTGCACTACTCAGGAGTCTTCCCTTCACAAATTAATTTACGTGGCAGAAAGCTGGCTGTGGCTTTCAGGCAACATCAGGTCTCTCAGTACTTGTGCTCCATCCTCACAACCTTTGTGTCCAAAGAGGAATTCTCCGCTGCTTTACCACTGTGTTGGAGCAGCTGGTGAATTTCTGTAAAGATTTGCAGAGAAATAACTGTAAGAGGTCTAGGTCTCTGTCCCTAATGTAAGTTACCTTGTAACTTAGTTCCCTGTCATCCTTTCTAGGATTAGATGAAGAGGAAGTGGAGGGAGCAGTGTTCTTTGAATTGGACCCCTCCAGCGTCGAGTCCTGTGTATAGGATGCCCAGGGGTCTTGTGTGTCCATTTCAATGGTCCACAGTGAGTGTTCTCATAGAGGTGGTCCTTGAGAACTTGAGGTATCAGGGTTGGGAACTTGGAAAGGGCCCATACCAACAAAGTCCTTTCCATTTCATCCTCATACTAAAGAGAATCTGTACATAGACTGCACCCATCTGTATAAGGTATTTGCGCCCCCTAAGCTGTTCATGCAACAATACCTGGTGGTTTCTGCAGAAAGTGGCCATTCCCTTCTTTGTACACTGTGGATGCAAGACCCTTACTGTACTGGTGGATGATGTGTTGGCGTTCCATAACCCTGCAGTCCTTTTTAAGGTGTCCTTTTCTTTGGTGAGTGCAGCCATGCAACCTGCTATTGCTTCCATGGAATTTTGTCAGCCCTTACTGATATGAGCAAAGTATAAGCCACAAGAACCTGGAGCCTTTCTTTCTGGTTCAGTGGCCAGACAGCAGTTGGAGCTTTCCCTCAACTGTTGTGCTTCTGCTTGGTTGCAATGGTAGTTTCCCTCTGGCAACTCTCTTGTCTGGGACTTACGTCGGTGTCGATGAGCTGTCCCGGTTGAAGCAGTTGAAACATTTTTCTCTAGAGCATAAACGCCATTTTGCAATGATCTGGATAATGTTTATCCAAAAAAATCACTGGAGGAAAGAGCACTCTTTACTCAGCAGTAGCAGAAGCCTACAGAGAAGAAGCTGTCTTCATCTGGAACCGAGAAGGTTTCATGTGTGTTTTTTTTTTTTTTTTTTTCAGAACTTGGAGTGAAACCAAAAACTTCCTTTAGGAAAAAGTCTTGGAATCCTACGTCCACCAAGACGGGCAACGACCCCTTTTTTTTTTTTTTTTTTTTTTTTTTTTGCCAATGAAGGGGCGTCCCCACTTATGCTATAGGTGGGATACTTAATGGCCTTTGGTTGTACAAATCTGAGATCTCTCTAGTGTATGGGTCCAAAACATTATGTACAGACACTACAAGCTGGTGTTTCGCATCTTGTGTCCTCCAACCTTTATGCTATCAAACACGTCTACTGCACCCCACAAAAGAGCAGCCCTGTTTGTGCAACTTGAACCATTTGCACTCCGTGGATCAATGCCTCTGTTAAAGAGCCAGAAAGGTAGGCATCACCAAGAATGCCTACCTCCACATCCTTATTTGTCCACTTCATCAGCTGTACCTGTGGTTTGTGCCAAGGCAACAACATTTTCAGTTTGTTGCTCTGCCCTTTGGCGTAGCCATGGTTTCTCAAGTATTCACAGTGAGCAGTTTCAGTTCTTCTCTGTCCAGATACCCCAAAATGGATATCACCATGGCTCAAACTGCTCCTGCAGGGGCAATTGAGAGACGGTCTCAGCGCTAATGTGCAGCAACAATGCAGGTAATCTCAAGGTTTCAACCCTGGAGCCATCATACTGACCAGAGAAGTGGAGATCATTCTGACTTGGGCAGAACGCAGTGTTCAGATTCTGTCTGTGGTTCTAGTTCATCTCCAGATCCATAAATTCTCGACCATTTGGAGCAGATATCCTAGTCACTCTGTGGCATTTGTTAAACCAAGTCTTTAGGACCGTGAAAGAGCACAACCAAAGCCAGAAGTCAGAACCTTTTTAGAGAACGCTGGCTTATCACTTTTTGGCACTGGCTTTGTGCATGGGGTTACTCACATCGTTCACCAGTACAATCCCTGCTAACTCTGTGGAACTTCAATCTGGTGTCAGACTTTCAAAGACCACTATTTGAACCGATATCACACAAGCTTGCTTTTCTTGCAGCTATCACCTCGATTGGGAGGGTGTCCTTGCTTGCAGCTTTGTCCTGTAAACAGAATTTTCTTGTGCTTCATACAGATCAGGTTATTTTGAGACCACATAATTCTTCCTGTCTAGGGTGGTTTTGGATTTTAGTTTGAATCGGGACATAGTGTTGCCTGCCTTTTTGTCTTGGATTGCTCCCCATTGCCTGGATGTAGTTAGGGCTGTGCAAGTCTCCCTTGCAGCCACTGCCACTAGTCGACAGTCTGACACCTTGTTTGTGTTGTCTCAAGGCTCCTGGCAGGGACAGATTGCCTCTCATTGCTAGGTGGATTCAGCAAATTATCATGTGTTCCACTTGAAAAGCAGTGTTTCTCCCTTTGCTATAAAGGCCCACTCTACCAGAAGTGTTGGTGCTTCATGGGCTTTTTAACATCAGGCCTTAGTGTCCCAGGCCTGTAAGGAGGCTGCATGGTCTTCTGCTCCTACATGGAGTTTTGGGCTGCGGCAGATGTTGGCATGCAGCCCGATAAGGGCCTTGTCAGTTGTTCCTGTAATGTTGAGAGAATTGTTACTGTTGGGCTTGTAAGTCATTGTTTGGATTGCTTTTGGGCATCCCTTTTAGAATGAACTCCCTTTTTTGTCCTGTGTGATGTACTCCATAAAGGGACTTTACAGGCAAGTTAAAAATCCTGTTTTTACAACCAACAGTCAACAGCACTTGAAAGATGGCCTAGGGGTCTCTGAGGGCAGTAAGGTGGATAAGTGGTTTGGATTTTGCCCTACAGTACAGTAGCTGTTTTTAGCTGCATGGGGATTTTGGCTGCAACTCCTGTGGATAATTCTGTGTTCTCTGGTAAATTCTGCATAAAAAATGGTTTGATTAGTTTTGTCACTCTGTAGAGTTGGCACATGTATGCATGTGACAAATGTCCTGATTTATTAAGCTTGCAGAAAGATGTCTGCAGTGACATTTCCTCCTTCGACTGCCTCCTGGTGCGTTTCTGTTGTCAGCCAGGCTGCCACCCACCTATTGCTGTTTGAAGAATTCACCATTTCCCTCTTGTGTTTAAAGGGGGTGAGACACCCTCTTCCCCAGTCATTATGAAACAATATAAAAATTACTGCCAACATCATTAAAGCCAATAAAATGAGAACAATACTCATAAAGGGATTTTATTAGATTTTCTTTTTTTCATTCTGTTGAACCTTTTTATATAATTGTCTGTGATTATTTTGGAGCTTTGAAGCAGCTAGCACCATCCCAGCAAGATTCAGTAATGAAATGAGGGCTTGTCTGCTCAAAGCCTTTACTTCAATTTTTCTTTTGTGTGGGTTTTTTTTTTTTTTTTTAATTTGACATCGGTTTGTATCCTAGACTAGCTGTACTATTCTTGTTTTAATAAATATTGAAATACACTGCTCAAAAAAAATTAAAGGAACACTTTTTGAAAACACATCAGATCTCAATGGGGAAAAATATCATGCTGGATATCTATACTGATAAGGACTGGGTAATGTGACACTGATGGTGTCCTGGGGTATTTCCTCCCAGATCTGGACCAGGGCATCACTGAGCTCCTGGAAATCTGAGGTGCAACTTGGTGGCATCAGATGGACAGGCGGCATCAGATGGACCGAAACATGATCTCCCAGAGGTGTTCTATTGGATTTAGGTCAGGCGAGCGTGGGGACTATTCAATGGTATCAATTCCTTCTTCCTCCAGGAACTGCCCACATACTCTGCCACATGAGGCTGGGCATTGTTGTGCACCAGGAGGAACCCAGGACCTACTGCACTAGCGTAGGGTCTGACAATGGGCCCAAGGATTTCATCCCGATACCTAATGGCAGTCAGGGGGCCATTTTCTAGCCTGTAGTGGTCTGTGTGTCCCAATATGGATATGCCTCCACAGACCATCACTGATCCACCACCAAAACAGTGAAGCTGAATGATGTTACAGGCAGCATAACGTTCTCTATGGCTTCTCCAGACCCTTTCACATCTGTCACGTGCTCAGGGTGAACCTGCTCTCATCTTTGAAAAGCAAAGGATACCAGTGGCGGACCTGCCAATTCTGGTGTTTAATGGCAAATGTCATTCGAGCTCTATAGTGCCGGCAGTGAGCACAGGGCCCACTAGAGGCTTGCTGGAGGTCATTTTGTAGGGCTCTGGCAGTGCTCATCCTGTTCCTCTTTGCACAAAGTAGCAGGTGCCTGTCCTGCTATGGGTTAAGGACCTTCTACGGCCCTGTACAGCTCCCCTTGAGTAACTGCCTGTTTCCTGGAATCTCCTCCATGCTCTTGAGATTGTCCTGGGAGACAGCGCAAACCCTCTGGCAATGGCACGTACTGATGTGCAATCCTGTAGGAGTTGGACTGCCAGTGCAAACTCTGTAGGGCCCAGGTATCACCTCATGCTACCAGTAGTGACACTGACCCTAGCCAAATGCATAACTAGTGAAAAAACAATCTGAAAAGATGAGTAGGAAAAAAAATATCAGTGGCCTCCACCCATAAAAACATTCCTGTTTTGGGGGGTCATCTCATTTGTTGCCCATCTAGTGCAACTGTTGTTAATTTCATTAACACCAAAGCAGCTGAAAGTGATTAACAACCCCCTCTGCTTCTTAGCTGACCAGATCAAAATCTAAGAAGTTTACAGTATATTGGAGGTAATTGCGAGCGCAAAAGAGCATATAAGCAGCTAGCATATGAAAGGTAAAAGCCCTGCACCTCTAAACGACAGTAAAAATAAATAAATATGCAGTGCTAAATAGTAACATATGATACACAATGATAATAATAAAAATATTTACATATAGAGTGAGCGCTACTGAGGCGCATAAATAGTGAACTGATGGTTACGTCTTATAGTGCCGTATCAGTATGACAAAAGGCAAATAGTTGAGTGACAGATGTGAATAGTCCAATCAACAGATATAACAGTCCTTAAATGGGGTGATCTGTGCTCCGGGCTGGTAACCTCCGGTGCCGAGAGCCAGTAAAACTATGCACGTACCGGAAGCGCATATAAAATGCGCAAAATAGGTATATCCTTAATAGGGTCATCTAGGTCTGGTCTAGGCTGTGGGGCCATCAAGCTCAATGTGGACAGTTAGGATGATGCTGCTCACACACAAGGGTCACATTCTGCTCACATACCCATCAGAAACAGCTCCAAGATATTAATCCAGATTTGGTTCCACCTTTATAGGGCCGTAATGACCAAGCCAGAGAATAAATAGGTGCCAATAGTGTAGTATGTTTTATTAAATGGTAGGCAAGAAATCCAGGTAGATAAACTCACATGTGGTTTATGGAAAAACATAAAGATGGCCGCCAGCTTTCCTCGCGGCCGTGTGCGGCGTGACGTCACTCCGGTGGGCTCCTCCCTTAAGGATATACCTATTTTGCGCATTTTATATGCGCTTCTGGTAAGTGCATAGTTTTACTGGCTTTCGGCACCTGACGTTACCAGCACGGAGCACAGATCACCCCATTTAAGGACTGTTATATCTGTTGATTGGAATACAGTGATCTTTCCTGACACCGGACAATATCCGTTACCATGCAATATTGTTTTCTTGTGTACCACAGGATACCTGCTATTACTCTCCTCATCCAGGCTAGGCTCTTCAGTCTCCTGCTTTTAGTTTAGGGACCTGATTACTTGACTTTGGGCATTAGATTCTTGTAGGTCTTGCCCACAGTTTTGCTAACTAGCCAAAAAGATTGCATTTATTGCTGAGCAAGGCACACTTGTTGGACATGAAGCTAGTGAGCGAGCAGGGTTAAGTGCCAGACAGCAGACTTTGTGCATAAAGATTATATGAGACAGCAATCTCATATGAGGCACTGAAAAGGAATTTCTAGACAATTCCCACTTTTACAGTGCATCAAGAAAGTATTCACAACACTTAACCTTTGCCACATTTAGTTATGTTACAGCCTTATTCCACAATGGATTAAATTCATTTTTTTCCTCAACATTCTACAAGCAATACCTCATAATGACAATGTGAAAGAAGTTTGTTTTGAAATCTCTGCAGTTTTTTTAAAATCAAAAAATGAAAAATAACACTTACATAAGTATTCACAGCCTTTGCTCAATACTTTGTTGAAGCACCTTTAGCACCAATTACAGCCTCAAGTTGTTTTGAGTATGATGCTACAAGCTTGGCACACCTTTTTTGGGACAGTTTCTTCCATTCTTCTTTGCAGTACCTCTCAAGCTCCATCAGGTTGGATAGGGAGCGTTGGTGCACAGCCATTTTCAGATCTCTCCAGAGATGTTCAATTGGGTTCAAGTCTGGGCTCTGGCTGGGCCACTCCAGGACATTCACAGAGTTTGCTCGTAGCCACTCCTTTGTTACGTGGGCCGTGTGCTTAGGGTTGTTGTCCTGTTGAAAGATGAACAGTCGCCCCAGTCCAGAGCGCTCTGCAACAGGTTTTCATCAAGGATGTCTCTGTACATTACTGCATAAATTTTTTTCCTTTGATTCTGACTAGTCTTCTAGTTCCTGCTGCTGAAAAACATCCCCACAGCATGATGCTGCCACCACCGTGCTTCACTGTAGGGATGGTACTGGCCAGGTGGTGAGAGGTGCCTGGTTTCCTCCAGACATGACGCTTGGCATTCAGGCCAAAGAGTTCAATCTTAAACCATCAGAAACAAAACTCTCTGGTCTGATGAAACAGAGTGTCCCTCAGGTGTGCCTTTTGGCAAACTCCAGGTGGGCTGCCATTTGCCTTTTACCGAGCAGTGGCTTCCGTCTGGCCAGTCTACCATACAGGCCTGATTGGTGGAGTACTGCAGGGATGGTTGTTCTTCTGGAAGGTTCTCCCTTCACAGAAAAATGCTGGAGCTCTTTCAGAGTGACCATCAGGTGCTTGGTTACCTCCCTGGCTAAGGCCCTTCTCCCTCGATCACTCATTTTGGCTGGACGGCCCACTCTACGAAGATTCCTGGTGGCTCCAAACTTCTTCCATTTATGGATGATGAAGGCCACTGTGCTCATTGGGACCTTCAATGCTGCAGAAATTTTTCTGTACCCTTTCCCGATCTGTACCTTGATACAATCCTGTCTCGGAGGTCTACCAACAACTCCTTAGACTTCATGGCTTGGTTTGTGCTCTGAAATGTACTGTTAAATGTGGGACCTTTTTTATATAGATAGGCTTATGCCTTTCCTAATGTCCAATCAACTGAATTTCCCACAGGTGGACTCCAATCTAGTTGTGGAAACATCTCAAGGATGATCAGTGGGAACAGGATGCACCAGAGCTCAATTTTGTGTCATGGCAAAGGCTGTGATGTGTTTTTTTTTTTTTTTTTTTCGTTTTATTTTTAACAAATTGCAAAGAGTTCAAAATGAACTTTCATGTTGTCATTGTGGGGTATTGTTTGTAGATTGAGGAAAAAAATTTATTCCATTTTGGAATAAGGCTGTAACAACAAAAATGTGGCAAAAGTTAAGTGCTGTGAATACTTTCTGGACGCACTGTAAAAGATCCATAATGGCTTGTTTTTATAAATGATAGAGCTTTAATGGGGGGGTGAGTGTTGTGTGCTATAACTGTTTATAACCAAATATCAGTTCTAGTGTAGGCAAACCATTGAGAATAGGACTGCAAGTTCCCTTTTAGCCACTAGTACTTTTGTGTATTCTGTATACATTTAGCATTGTATGTCTGGGATATTGAATAAAGGAAATGAACAGACATCTATTCAGTGAACTGTTTCTTGCTGTACACCTAGATTTACATAACTCTGTTATTTCTTGTTGATGGCCAGCAAGTCTTTGTAGAGGTTTATCTTGATATTCAAATTTTTTTTTTTCAGGCAAAAACAAGAGGCTTTCACACTACAGTAGACATTGGTGTTAAGTATGCAGAAAAGCAGAAGAGACAGTTTGATGACGATAAACTAAAAGCTGGACAGAGCGTTATTGGTTTACAGGTAACGGGTTATTTCCAACTGTTGGCTTTTATTTGTACAGTGTTGCTAAAGAGGGCCTATTTGTCAGTTACAATATTTTATCCTCATTGACTCCACTCATCCACAAGTGGCTCATATGATCTCTGCATAACCTTAGTCACTGGTGTTAATGTGTGTTAAGCTGTGAGAAATGTAAATTGTCTGCTATGCAAAGGGAAATCAGGTTGCCGGGGGTGTTACAGCACATCAGTGCTTTGTGTATAAGGCCTCTTGCACACTGCAGCTTGTAGCCCATTATTTACAATGTGCCTTTTCACACAGGCGCTTTAAAAAAGCTCTGCCCATTTCTCGGTATAGGAAAAAAAAAGGAAAATCTGCATTTTTGGTCAGTAATTTTGTGCACATATGCGTGCGAATACATGCATTTATGGGCATAAATATTATTGCATTTTCCATGACAATATGTTGTGTGCGCAACTACATCATATACTGCATAAATACACACAAAAGAAGTGCCTGAAATTACATTGAAAAAAAGCAGATGCTCAAACATCATTACCATGTGCAAGAGCCCTAATGGTAATAAAACTCCTAAAGAAAAGTCATGAAGTCCGAAGTGTGTTATAGAGAAGGGAGTATGTAGATCTTCCATGTTATTTCCACAGTTAATCGGCACCTCTGATTTAACCTAAGCCAAGCGTTATTTCTTCAATAATAAAAAAAAAAAAAGCATTACAGACCAGTATACTGTGTTCCAGCCAGATAATGCATTTCACCCTTTACTGGATCTCACAAATGCATTTTTGTTTTAAATAAATTTTAGAGACTTGCTAAGGCCTCATTCACATGGGCGCTGGCACCCATACTGCATGAATGAAGCTTTTGTTTTTTTTGCATGCATCCACCTGGGGTGTGCAGAGGCAGCCTATGAAAGTGAATGCAGGTGCCGTAGCTGCTCACGTGGCTGGCTGTCAGAATTTGATATGCGTACAGGCGTGGGTGTGCAGCCCCCAAAAGCAGACAATGTGCGTTGCGGTCGTGAATCTGCTCCAAATTTGACAGGCAGCTGTGCCTGTGCAGACCCCAATGTATGCGCAAAAGCAAATGCCTTGTTTATGCAGTCCAGGTGTCAGTGCTTGTGTGAATTGTGCACCGTGAGGAGGAGCCTCTGGGAAAGCGATTTCTGATGAGCTGATCAGATTTGTTTTATTGAATGTGGTAGCACACCTTGCAGAATGTTTCATTTTTGCTTCCTTAGATGGGAACAAACAAATGTGCAAGCCAAGCAGGAATGACAGCCTACGGTACAAGACGACATTTGTATGATCCAAAGATGCAGACTGATAAACCCTTTGACCAGACTACAATCAGTTTACAGATGGGAACAAACAAAGGTGCCAGCCAGGTAAATGGCCCAGTCAGCACCCATAATTTGCTAAGTGCACCAGATAGTTCCATTGCTTTTATTGACACCAGGCATAGTGTGCATGGTTATAGAATTGATATCTTTTTAATATTTGGGCTTAAGGGTACTATTTTTGTCTTGGGGATTTCAGTTAATGGATCACTTCACAGAATTTTTCCTCTATGCAATTTTATATTAATGTCAAATAGTGCAGCAGTGGAATCCGTCACAGTACTGCTATAATTACCACAATGGAGAAAATAATAAATCCTGGTCTACGATATACTCTTATGCAGGGCTTTTTTTCTCTGAGAATAGGTGGAGGTACACCCCCCTTCTGAGTCACCCCTTATCTTTGCCTCCTACCCACCTCTGAGCTCTGTCCCTTGGTTCCACCCCCTACCCACTTTCCAGTATGTTGCCTTTCAGAGAATACAAAACATAGAAAAATAATTTGTATGGAATTAAAATAACAAGAAAAACAAAGTAGATCCTGTGCAGTCAGCAACATTCGCTCCCACCCCTAGCAACAAGACACCCCCCCCCCACCCTGGCAAAAATAGATCTACCAGCAGCCAACATGAATAGAACCTCCATCAGCTGGCTAGAGTAGACCCCTCACTCATCAATATATTCCCCAGAGAAAATTGACCAGCCCCCCCTAGCAAAAACAGATTCTCCACCAGGAACAATAGATCCCCCCCCCCCCCCTTGTCCAGATGCAGTAGATGCTCCAGCAGCCTCATCTGTAGACCATCCAGCACACCCCCCACCGCCCCTCGCCATTACATACATTTAGTGCTGGAGGTGCCAGAACTGCATTCCCCCCCCCCCCCCATGTTCCCACTGAAAAAAGCCCTGCCCTCATGCTTAAGATATCTAGAGCTGTGAACTTGGTAGTGGAGTAACTTCTCCATTGGACTTTACTACATGGATAAATAGGCCTGTGTGTGGCTTACTCTGCTAGTATCCAGCAAAACTGAAGTATTTTATTTTGCTAAACATGATCTTTCTGCCAAATATTATCAAAGTGGCAGAGCGCAATCAGCTTTGTAAGTTGTGTTCAGTTACAACGTCATCCTCCCTTGGACTAGCTAAGGCTTCTAAGGAGTGAATACATGGTACAATGTATAGGTATTGCTATTGGGTAACTGCAGACACATGGAATTCTGCTTCTGTACTTTCTGTAGCATGTTACTTATGTCTTCCAATGGCAGCAAACCGTGTATCTCATTAAGCACATCTCCTATTTCCAAAGCCTGTACACATTTAATGGTTTATGTAGATCTACAAATTCTGCATGCTTTCAGGTGCGTTCAGCTTGCAGATCACTTTGACCTCCTTCTGCTTTAAGCTGCTTTTGCATGCTTATGGACTTGCCCGGGAATGGGGAAGCTTGGACAAACCCAACCCTTATGCGGGCCATGGGAGTGTCTAGCAGTGAACATTTTAACTGTCCATGCATTAGATTTATGAACGAACGTTTGTGTGAATATTGGTATGAACATACGAATGATCATTCTCAGCACATTCAATGACCAGACAAATGTTTGAAAATACTTCAAAATTACCTTTTGGTTTTACCATTCAATTTTGGAATGAATGTAATTTCATGAACAAGAAAACACTGTTGGAAATTTTGTGGGAGAAGTTTTTCATTCTGTGTTCTCATATTTTCTCATCACTATGGTCAAGAACAAATGTCAATTTGACCCCACTAACGATTAGAAAATCAGACAAAAAAACCAGAACATTTCTAGTAGTGTATAGCCAGGTGTAGTGTAAGGCTGGCTTCACTCAATACTCTGAGTGCCTCGTAGAGGCATTCATTCTAAATAAAGCTACCTTAGTGCAACCATGTAACCCCACAAAACACTGCATGTTAATTTGGGCCTGATTTATTTTTACACTGATTTCTCTTACATTATCAACGTTGTGAGAAAGTGATGTAGTATTTTGATGTGGCAATGTCAAAAAAGCTATGGCAGAGTGAATGCAGATTATTGTAAAATACTATGGCCTTTTGTTTACTAGGCTGGCATGCTGGCACCAGGAACGAGACGAGACATTTATGATCAGAAAGGAATTCTTCAGCCCATTGACAACTCCACAATCTCACTGCAAATGGGCACCAATAAAGTGGCATCTCAGAAAGGAATGAGCGTTTATGGCCTTGGCCGGCAAGTGTACGACCCCAAATACTGCGCTGCTCCCACAGAACCAATCATACACAACGGCAGCCAAGGGACCGGCACAAATGGCTCAGAGATCAGCGACAGCGACTATCAGGCAGAATACCCTGAAGAATACACAGGAGAGTACCCAGATGACTACCCTAGAGATTACCATGGCCAGTACAGTGACCAGGGCATAGATTACTAGGTCTATACAGTCTGCTCAGTATTAGTTCTTATTTTATTCAATGAAGACCAAGCTAGCCTTGTGTAATTTTTTTCTGTCTTCCTTAAACACTACTATGCTTTAAAATGGAAAAACAAATTGCCTTATGTACATTCCTTATTTCATCTCTGCCTTGTATCCCTAGTTGCCTTCTAGTGCTGAGATTGAGGTTACCGGGCAGCATTAGCAGGAACTGCATATGAAGTAAAAGGAATACTGTGAATACGGAAGGGAGATTTGTACAGTTACGCTCTATCAGGACTATGCATTTTTCTGCTATACATATCATGGTGCATCCTAGGTTCAAAAGTCTACAATGCTTTGTATTTTTTAATTGCCAATGGCTAAGGTAACGTTTTAACTAGTTGATAAGGTTTTCTATTTCTGTAGTGTATTTTAGGTGGTTTTAAGTGATGTATGCCACAGCCATTTTGTGAAGTTAGAGCACTCGCTTTGGCTAAATGTTTTTTATTACAAAATGGCTGCCTTGACTAGGAGGTGTGTACTTAGCAGATACACTTTAACTATTCGTTGCCTTAGCAGAGCTCTAATCATTTTTTTTTTTTTTTTTTTTTTTTTTATTCCCCCCCCCCCCCCCCCCCCCCCTCGGGACCACATGTATAGCGAAACTGCACAGGGAAAAAATTAGAATGAAATTCTGTTGTATTATGTGAAGGCAGCTCTGGAATAATGTTCCAGGAGATTGTACATGGTTATACATTTGGATCTCTCCCCACCTAGAAAAATTGTAGACACCAATCTTGTTTATAGCCATGCTGTCTAAGAGATCTATTTTTTTAGGTCTCTTTTGGTGGTACAGTGGGTAGTAATATTATCACTTGTGACTGACTTTCTGGTCTCTCTGTATGAGGCTATAGGTGCAGCAGAGTAGTGATTTGTTCAGTGAAAATGGCGGTTAGGAGAAGACTTGGATACATGAGAAACTGGAAGGTGGGAAAGCCAGCAGTGGGTGGCTGTTAAAGTTTTCTTACATGGTGGTTTGGAATTGCCAATATACTTTCTCAGTCATTTAAAATGTGCTGTGCCTCCAAAGGACCCATTCCCACCACTGCATTGGGTAAAATCCTACATGCTGCATTAGTCCTGAGTTGTCTTAATCCAGTAAATTGAATAAAATGTTAGGGTCAGCTTCTAATCTAAATGAGAATAATCCCTAGCAAACAGCCAGCCATGAATTTTACAGTCTGTGCTGCAATCACTTCTCAAAATACACCAATCTAAATTTCATACTGCAAGTGCATATTAAGTCTAATCTATGTTGGAGGAAGGATCTCACATTTATGGCCAGTTGAATGGATTTCTCTTGCAGGAAGCTTCTTTGTAGCTTTGTTCTAGTATTACTGGAAGAACTGTGTTTTATTGTTTACTGGCTGCATGTGGGCGTTTCTTAGCACTCTTACCAGTAACTGAAGTTGCGCCACCAGAGGTTGTAGTTGGCTAGAAGTGGAGATCTCCTTTTTGTGGAATAAATTGTGACGCATTGCAAACACTTTAGATCAAGCTTAGAAGACAGACATTTAGTGTGTTCAGCTGAACCTTCGTTAAGAGAAAAGGTTTTCAGTAGGGTCATTTACCTTTAATTGATAAAGTGTTGCACCGGCTGACTTGGCATGATTTTCATCAGTTTTAATTTTAGCTAGTGATCTGGTGAAGGCATCAAATAATGGCTTAACCCACAAAATGGTTGCCTGCAGTTTGTTGGTGATTGGATAATAACTTGCCAACACCATGCCTTGATCAAAAACAATTTGTGATATAGTTTGAAAGGCAGGGTTTTATCTTCAGGTGAAATCTGTATACAAATTATTTTAATTGTTTTTAATGACAGTTTATTGGTGTCTGTCAAGAGAAGACTTTTAGTATTTGCTAGGATTCCTTGGTTAAAATGTTTAACATATATAAAAAGTCAACCTGCAGAGCCAGCCAGTGGTTGTGCGCCACCGCATTAGGTGCTCCAGGAAGGTCAGTCACAGTTTAATGTGTTATGCACATAATCCATTTTCTCTGTGTACACAACATTCCAGAATGAAAATGTTAAATCATGTTCTAACTTGGCCTGGCAGGATGATTTGAAGGTTATGACAGGTGAGGGACCACATGTTCAGGGATGCAGAAAGTGTACCATTTATATTCCTGTGCTGCTGGCAGGAAAATTCTGTGCGTTGTAATCAGCCCTGCAATGTTTAGTTGTCTTATGAAGGGAGCCTGTACAAAAGGTCTGGACCATGCTAATGTCTTATGTTCTCCATTGCTCTAAGGTTCTGCAGCCAGTCATGTTGTAGAAACCCTTTTGGGCAGAAAAGGATTTAAACGACCGTGCATTTACAGTTGTCTGTGCCATAATGTACTCATGTAGATGTGCTTAGTTTCTTTTATGTGTATTTATTGCCACATTTCTCAGCATAAACCGATCCCATTGTATTTTTTATAAATAAATTTTGATATTTTTTTTTCTTTTGAGATCTCAAACTGTCTCTGTTTCATTTGTTTCTGTATTATAGTTGATCCAAAAGCTGGCCTGCTTAATAAAGGCCCAAAACATTGCCTGCTTAATAAAGGCCCAAAACATAATGACCATAGAGGTTAAAGAAGACAAAGTCTGAAGTTTCTTCTAATCTGTGCAAATGAAAGGCGGGGAAAACCAAAGCAAGCTGTTTGCAGGTATAATTTGAAATATGGGTTGAATAGCTCACCAAGCAAGTAGCTAAGTCCAGATAAATAATTGTCCACAAGATCTTCAACCCAACTCCTCAGGGCTTTAAAAAGAAAAAACATCTAGGCAAAGAAGAATAAGTGATTGGCAGGTTTATGCAGGATGACTCCTGTTAGCTGGTTTAGCAATGATGATACAAAGCTGTAATATTATAGAAAGTTTATAAATACAGTGATAAGTGCAACGCTACAATATAATAAATTACACAAAATTGTAAACCACAAAAATACAAGTATGTGAATAAGTTCAATTCTCTTCATTGAAGTGCTTCCATCCTTTTTCTTATGTAAACACCAAGTGCTCCAAATCATAAATGTGCATATGCTCTGCCACCAGATGTCTGCTCACCGCCAGCAGTGTGACCTCACATAATATTATGTTTGGTCTAACTGCGCTTTATGGACACCGATTATCAACTTGATGGACCCCAACTATCATTCGCAACTTCTCCAGAATTTACCTCCATCCATCACATCACATCGCCTCACCTCACCTCATAAGACTCCACATAATGCGTAAACTTTAAAACGTTTTATTATTTTTCTAAGCAAAATGCGCACTCATGTGAAGGGTGCCCAATCGCATCAAGTATAATCAGCCTCTATTGTCAGTAAATGCCCGAGATCCGTGGACCTGTGCCATGAATAATTCACAATGGTTGAACCCATGCAGTGGGTAAATCGCAATAGTTGCATGGTGTCACTCTCCATGAATGCCGCTACCATCGCTTGATCCATGGAGCGTCATGACGTCATCCAAAGCCCTGCCCCCTTCTTCTTTATATTATGTATCTTATCTAAGACTGGGGTGATTTAAGAGATGTGTGGTTATCTATAGAAGCGTGCAAGATTATTTGAATATTATAGAAAGTAATCTTTCAAATATTCAATATTTTCATTGGCTACCATCTTTAAAATACCTACATGGTTTAGTAGAAGCTATTTTGCTTGGAGTGCTAATCACAGAATAGTTGGCTTCTGAATTTCATAAAATGTCACACAGGACTGTGTGTAGGTAGTTAGCAAACAGCAGAAAGGCAAGTTATTCAAAAATCACATATGAAATGTCTTTGGATATCCACATTTTGGAGAGCTCCATTTCATAAAGATAGTGAAACACATTACCCTATAGATTTAAGGGCTGTCCATACTCTAAATATTAGAATTTTAGATTTGCCAGTAAAATCTATTTCCTGAAGTTTAGTATGGGGAATGGGCTTCTTTATCCTCACAACTTGATTATATACAGCTTCCTTCAGATGATTGGACAGTAGCACCCCTCCCCCTTGTCATTAGAACAGAGGAGAGGCTATTGGGGTTCTGTACTGTATTCCATAAAATAAATTTTACCGCAATCCAATGCCAGTATTTTATTTGTGCAGTATGTAAGCTTGATATTCATAGACCTCAGGTTATAGGCTGGTACCTTCAGTCTTCTTTAAACCTCACAGATGAGAGATTCAAAATTAGTCCCGGCTCAGGTTTGGGTAACATGGCACTAACAGACCCAAACAACTCAAGAAGGCTCAGTAGCTTAGAGAAGCCTGTAGCACATTATGCCCTAAGCTGGCAACAGAAGAGGCAGGAACATTCACCTGGTAGAACTTGATAATTATGCCTGGTGCTGAAAGGTCCATGAAGCACTTACACATCTGACAGAATGCACATTGACAGGGATGGAAGGCACCCTATCCTTCAGACTATGGGCTTTGACAGTAATCTGTCTAATTCACCTACCAATGGTGGAACAAGATGCAAGGAGATGTGAGACCCCAGGAAGAACAAAGCAGGAATCTGATTTCCTAAAGGAAGCTGTAGCTGACACAACATCCAGACTGGGCAAACAAAACAACCATGGTCTCAAAACAACTTTGTCCTTGTACAATACTAAGGCTCTTTAGAGGAAAAGGCTGCTAATTCATGTAATAGCAACATGAAAAGGCCACTTGAATCAGATTTGGATCCCAAAGGTAGACCGGAGACAAGGTAGGAGAACAGATGTGAGCTACACTCTGAACAAAGGCCCTAACTAGCCTACAGCATGGTGGGACGAATAAAGATTTGTGTTCCCTGGGACTATGGCTTCAGCAGCCATTTTGTTACAGCCAATGATTGAGAAGCATGATGGAACATTTGCCCCTGGCACAGACGAGCCAAATGATTTGGAATTGCCCAGAAAGCATTTGCCAGGAGTATGCCAAGAGTGAGGGCAGCTTAACTGATTTGGTAACCTGTGGCGGGGCACAATG